CACTTCAGTAGCTAGTTGTTTGCAGAGCTGTGTCAATTGATAAGAAAGAAGATGTGCACTACACCATGTTATCCTCAGACTGATGATTTGTTGAAAGAGAGTTGTAGACTGTCAAGGTATGCTTGCTAAGTTTGTTAACTTTGACGAAAATAACTGATATGACCACCACCCATATTTCATTAGGGCATATACTGCAACCAAGACAGTCAACTAGTTTTTCATTCTCCCTATGTTTGGGTGAAAAGTAATGTTCCTGTTGATATGATAAACGTACTTCCTCGTATAGCAAATGTAAAGCAGTATCTAAGGGAATACGTGGAATGACTACGTTCTAAAATAGTTGATGTAGATAAATTTACACAATAGTAGATTAGAAAAGTAGTCATATGTCAAATGAGGTAAAACAATAACGGAATGAAAGTTTGAGCCTAGTGACTGTGCATGCTTGTGGTGTACTTCTCCAGTACCAAAGGAACTCAGTTCTGGCTGAAATGGTCTGTGCGTTATCTGTTGACAGATCAATAAAGTGAACCATGAGTAACAGTGGCATTTGGAGTACATACACGTGCATAACGCATTGACAAGCTTAAACTGTACATCACTGATAAGCCTCTGAAGGATTAGTATATCCAGAAATCGAGTTGGACGAGCAAATTGACGGTGGTGGTGAAAGTATTGTGTCATATTATCTTGTCCTACCTGAGAAAAGGAAGATAGTGTCAGTATAAATCAGGTTGTTCATGAAGAATCAGACGAGGAAATGCCAGTGGAGGAACAGTCTATCTGCTTTAATGATCAGCCAAGACACAAACAATGGTGACCTCCTAATCTTTATAGAAGGGATTAACAATTTGGACAATCAGTAGTTGAATGATAAAAATCAATACTTGAAAGGAAGTGGCATTAATTTCTTTCTTTCTGAGTTATTAAGTAGTTTTCCAAAGTTATATATACAGGGAGTCATATGATAACCACACAGTTATTACACAGCTAGAACAGTTAATTGGTTGAAATATTAATATCTGATAGTGCATTATTACTATTAATTTCCGAGCTATCAGGTGATATTTTGGTAGTTATGACATCTCGCAATAATTAACAAATCTATCTAGCAAGTTGTAGCAGTATTTCTGAAGAGCAAACTTCACGAAACACGCTAGGCATACAACTCGGACAGTTGAAGTTGTTAGATAAAATCATAGGGAAATTGACAGTTACATTCAACTGTTAATAATGACTGAGAATTGTAACAACCTAATATGTTGAAAATACTCCAAATAAGTTGTTTATGAATGTTGGCAAACATTTGATGTTATAAACTTCCTAAGCAAACTCGCGATATTGGGCATAAGGTGGCCAAACTTTATGTTGTGTTGCTCTGCAAGATTGTGCCTGCTGGTCTGGTAGACTTGTATCAGTCTTCCTGAAGTGTAGTAACGAAGATGTGCTCTAACATAGAACATAAAAGTCTTATGGGCTGTGCAAATCAAGTAAAATGCCCATCAATTTGATATATATTTTTTGGGCTGAATTATTTTTTGTGATTATCTGATGAAGCAGATTTCACAGGTGGCAGTGATAGTGGCATAAATATTGTGAAAAAGTTTGAAAATAATTTAAAAAGTTATAGGAAGTGCGCAGAAGGATTGCATCAACGAAAGGAAGAATCACACAAGAATTATAATAACAACAAAAAATTAGTACGAAAGATAAAAAATAAGAAAATCGAAGAAGTTATTTGAAATGTACAGAAAGACATCAGTGAAGTAGGAATATATTAATGCCAGGATAAAACATTAAGAAATTGAACTGACAAATGCAAGGACAAAACCAACTACATCTCTCTCTTTCTATCTCTCTCTGCATCTGTTCAAGAATTTCAACTTCAAACATCATTAACTGTGCCATAGGGAATAGGATAACCCATTTGGTGTACATTTGTTACTACTACTGTTCTGCCTCTTATAACTGCAGGACCTTCTTGGACTACTCCAGTTACATCACTAAATCATCAACTTACGTAACTTAGCAGGCCAATTCAACAACACTGCTCAGCCAAGAAATCAACATATTTTGATAGAAAGGTGCAATGAGCGGTATATCTGACACAGTTTGAAAGAATTTGGTGAAGGGATGGAGTAATGAATAGCTTGTTATCTTGCTGCACATTTGAAAAACCAGCTTTAACAACATTAAGTAATCTTACAACAGAGAGACATAAAAGCTATCAGGCATTAGTGGTTGCCTTATTAAACAAGAAATGTCTAAGAAAAGCTCAGAAACAGCATGGGAAAGAAAGAAAGAAGAGACCTTAGCTGAACTTGCTGAAGATGTGTAGAGACATGTCCACTTGTTCTACTTAGATGCTACATGAAATGACGGATTAACTGGAACATTACAATTTCGTAGATGTACACAACTTTATGGTGGGACCAGTAAATCCTAAAACTTAAAAAGACCTTCACAGAGTTAAAATCTGAAAGGAAGCTTAAGAAATGCAGGGGTAGTTATCTTCAGTATTAGCCCTGTCATCTGCTTCGTTACTCTTGACACTGAACACCATCATCACTATGGGCGTCAATGTTGGAGCATCTGAATTTTCAGTAATGTTACCACTTCTAGCCTCCAGGCCATCCCAGTCTAAGTGTTGCTGGACATTTCAAATGGGTAGACTGCTGTTGAAGCTCGAATTTCAATCTCAAGGTTGCGAGATTAAAACCCAGCCCAAAACATACTCGCCTTTTCAGTCATGGGGGCATTATAATGTGATGTTCAATTTCCATTATTCATTGGTAAAGAGTACTGCAAGAGTTGGCAGTGGATGATCTTGACCAGCTATCCTTCTCTAGTCTATCACTTCAGATTATGGACTGCTAGCATTGATAACCCTTAGTAAATCTGCGTAAAATTCAACAAAAAAACAAGCATACTACACCCTATTAACCTGCCTCAGACATCACTGTCAGACTCAGGCAGCTAAGTGTATAAATGTTTGGACCTTGTGGCACTTGAAGAAAGACTAAAGGAGGGGCTGGGATGATCAACTCAGTTCAAAGTGGCCTTATACTACTTTTGGAAAACAATTCACCAGCTGACCAGTAGCAAAATGGCAATATACGTGTTACAGTTAAAAAGAGACATATATATTTTATCGACTGTCATCATGTACTGCCATTTTTCCCAGCTAGGTATGACCTGATGGTTAGGATGCTAGACTTGCAATCTGCTGATTGCGGGATCGAAATCGGGCTCTGGACATGCTAGCCCTTTCAGCTATGGAGGCATTATAATATGTCCATCAGTTCAAGTATTCATTAGTAAAGAGTAGCTCAAGAGATGGTGATGGGTGCTATCAGTCAGTTTCCTTCCCTGTGGTTGGCAATTCAACATTAAAGAGAATGGTAAGTAATTTAGTAGCTTTTCCATAAAGAAACAAACACACTTATTTACAAATTCTGGATGAATAGCTCATGAATGTGTATCCAGTTTTGAACTTCACTAATTTTCCCCTTAACATTCACAAGCTTGACCAATATTGACTCGTCTATTTCCACAAGTGGCCAACTTGATGAATAATTCGCTTAATGTTATGGATGCTATGACATTCTAGAAGTTCTAGTGGAGCTTATAATACTAATAAAAAACCCAGCTCTAAATGAAATTATTTCTTCTTCAGATTTGTTCTTAGGATCACTTATTGAAATTATTTATCAAATTTTCCTTTATGTGTGTTCACAGAGGTGTTCTTATCATCTTGTACTATAATTTAGCAGCCAACACAAATAGCAGAATGTGAAGATCCCAGATATTGTGCAGGCTTTCATGTTCCTTATTCATTGTTGTATTCAGTAAAGGTAAAGGTATTTTTGGTTCCTGTGAAACATTTGTGTCTGATATATCTTACTTCTTGTCCAATCAGACATTTATTATACTAGAAAAACTGCAACAAAGTAGTTGTTAGTCTACCAGCCCATCTAAAAGAAAAGTGGCTAATTTCATTTTGACACAAGTTGTAGGTCCAAGTTCTCAAACAATGTTTCTATACAAATTCCGAGACTAATGCTACTTATGCTTAACATAATTAGTTTTGATAGATAAACAAACACGAAACTCACCGAATAAATGACATTTTTTTTACCCTTATGCTATTAAGGGTTTCGAAACCAACAAAAAATGAACCTACAAGCAATTCAGTGAATTCACAGTATAGAAAAATACGTTTAATACAAGGATGAGGGTCCATAGGAACCTCCATCAGCAATTTAAAGCTAAAATGTGTGATGACTAATAGCCATAATTTTTAAAAGTATTTGTAACAAATACAATATGACTGTTTGACATGGTTGGTATATAAACATATTGTTGCGTCAGCGAGTCAAATGACTACTGTGACGCCACGTTTCTAGAACTATCCCGTACTTTGGCGAATGCTCTAGTATTTACTAGATATAGGGTAGTCGGGTATATAAAAGAGGGGGACAACGTGACGTGGTAATGTGTGTATAGACAGTGAGTAATTGAACTGCAGTCAGAGAGCACGAGAGACGTTACAGCGTTTGTTTAGCGCGATTGTTGAAGGTGAGTGTATCGGTAAAGTTGTATTCGGAAAGAATAAACCAGTTTTATTAAGTAAAGAACTTGTGTCGCTAAAGTTTCGTCGGAACGAAGTTACGGAAAGTTAATTAACAAACGGAGACGTAACAATATTTTATTAATTACTGGGTAAAATAAACATGTGTCTAATTGTTTGAATGTTATTCTTATTTGTTTATCTATTTATCCATTTTTTACCATTGTGTCAATTGGTACCAATAAAAACTTTTTCTGTAGAAACTTTTCACATACTTTATTAATACTGATATTTTCTTACCTATATAGACTGTTTATTGAGGTTCTGAAACAATTATAAGATCTGAATGTCAATTTCGATTGTTATTAGGACCAGAAAGTCGGTATAATTTTTTATCTTATGCTAACAGAGGACGCTACGTTCTGTAAGATAGCTTCAGTGTCAGGGGGTTAGGTCTATTTCTAAAGAAAGGACGCAGATTATTTAAAAGTAATTTTTTAACCGTAGGTAATTAATTATGATGAAAATGGTTTATATTTAATGTTTATCTTAAAAATGACAAAGGTTTTAGAATGTTTGATGTTGATTGCTTACAGACTGTAGTTTTGATTAAACATATTTACTTAGTTGGTTTTTGTTTAGTGCAAAAAATTAAGTTCTGTTACTGTGTTAGTTTTTAACAATGCAAGTTAGAAAGTAAAATTGAGGAATTTAAGGAGTTCAGTGGTTGGGAAAATTTTAACGTTCTACATTTTTGTTTTTGCCAATTACACCTTGTACTTTTTTGAAAACAAAACTAAGAACTTAACTTTGATTAAGTGAAATAAAATGTAAAGGCCAATATTAACGTAATTTCATTTTCAAATTTTAAATTAGCATGTAAAACTAAAAGTTAAAACTAATTATTGTGAAATTTAGCTTAAGTCTAAATGAAAATAAAGTGATGTGGTAGTTATAAATGTTCCTGGTATTTTGGTAAGAAAATATATAACTTAGTAAAGGTAATAGCATTTAAAACTTTAAGGTTTATACTTTTGACCTTGTCAAACTTATTGTACTTTTTTATTGTATTTTTAGGACCATTTGTGAAATAGACTTATGATAAATTCAGTAATTTGTGGTATATTTCTTGACTTTTGAAAAATTATGCAAGTTTTAACATTAATAATATTTTTTTTTATTGACATACCAGACAAAATTAAGTTTAAAATACAAAAGGTTGAAACAGTTACATTAAAACCAAATGGTCAGGTGTTTCTACTCTTTTTTTTTTTAACCATACATCAGTATTTTGGTATGTTTTTTGCTTTATTGTGTAAGTTTTAAGAACATGTACTTAGTTAAATTCATGTATTTGAAGATAAATAATTATAGAAATTTTAGATGTACCATCCACACTAGACTTACTGTTTTGACTACTTGGTTTTCCTGCTACATATTATTTAAACACATCTCAAATTCAGAATGATAAATACAGAAGAAAAAAAAAGACTAGGGTAGTGATACTGGTAATGTGCCAAGTACTTGAAGTAGTTAAAAAAAATCTGTTTTGATGTACTTGCCTCATTCTGCTAGATTATATAGGAATTTAATTACATTGATAGAGCAAAGAAAAGAAGCATTTTTTTAGGTATTGTGGTGAGGTTAGATGTTCCTTTTGTTTTTATATATTTGTCTTTTTTATATAATAACCCTTTATTAATTATCAACTGCAAACAAAACTGTATTTGTGAAACATATTTCATCAGCAATCTCTTCTTAATATAACTTAAAAGCACTTACTGTTCAGTGAAGCAAATTTACAACTCTAACAGAGATATAATTTTAAAATATAAAGATGTAACAAAACTAAAAGAAACAAGCTATTGAACAATATGCTTCATCATAATAGATAAACCTGCATTATTTCATTCAGTTCTCTAAAAACAATTTCTGCTTTTCACAGTTTTGTCTTTACTTCCTTGTGTATATTTCCATCAATACTAACTGTGCAATCAAGATATGTAAATATTTCCACATCCTCAGTTACCTCTCTATTCATAATGAACTGATCCAAATAATTTGTCTTTAACATCATAGTCTTTGTTTTACCAGTATTAACAGCTAAACCAACCTTCTGAGCTTTATGTGGCATTGCTGCAGTCATTCTAGCCATTTTTTGTGCATCATTACAACACAAACATACATTATTAGCATATTCTAAGTCTTTCAAAAGTGTTATTTAACCATTCAGTATTACCATTTCTGTGATAAGCTTTCCTTGTAACCCACTCCATAACAGTATTGAACAAGAAAGGTGATAAATATTACCTTGCCTAACCCCAGTTCTAACTTCAAACCACTGTATTTTCTTGACTGACCCTCACACAACTTTCAAATCCCTCATATAGCATACTTATTACATTATTTTTCTTTTTGGGGAATTCATAGCTTCAAAGTGTACTTGATATTGATTGTTTGTGTACAGAGTGGAAGGCCTTTTGAAATTCAACAAAATTTAACACTAAGGGTTTCTGTCATTCCTCACATTGCTCATGATGTTTCTCAGAACAAATATATGGTCAACACTTCTTGTACCAGCTCTGAAATATGTCTGTTGCTCTCTGAAGAAAGCATCTGTGGTATCTTTCATCCAGCTCTCCAAATCCCAAACAAGCTTTATCAGATCATGGAGCCTTGCTAATTCAATCTCTTCTCAATTTGAGATTACCATATGAACTTAGCTCTGTTATACTTTCTGGCTAAAATGTGTAGACAGAATTGCTCAATGCCTGAGATGGCTTGCATTTAAAATTGTAAACTCTTTCTTCATTGTATTTGACCATTCTGTCAATTAGTTTGACTTAGCTTGTTAAATTGGTTGTAGAGAGGCAGTGATAATCTCAATATCAGCTGAATCATCCATAAACTTAAATAAATCTGAAAGATGTGATACTGTCCATAGGATATCTCTTAGGTTATAATATGTTTTGATGAAATTGATACTAGTAACTTCAAAGAGGATCTTTCTTGCCTTATGTACTGACTCATCACTGTCACTGCTAACTTGACATAAATGTGAAACTACAGCCTGCAAGTTTTGCTGCATGGCATTTATAGTTCTTGCTTTGTTTCAGACTCATTGAATGTGTTTGAGATCACTGAAATGAGAACTTTTATCTATAACCCTTACAAGTTATTTTGCATTTCTTCTTATTTTTGGGCTATTCCAGTAAAATTTAAAATTCCATTTAAAACTTTCTTCAAACTAGATTAATTGATTATAAAATTTGACTAATCGCCCAGCTTTACAAGTAACGTATTGATATTTTGAATGCCTATTCTACTTGTTGTTTTCATCTGTTATCATACGAGTTGATACTTGTTATCAAATTTTATAATTATTTATATTTCTTTTTTGAAAATTTCAGAATTAACACTGCACATATACTCTGATTAAGATGCACACACTAGTGGCTGCCATCTTGGGAATTATGATGAGACAGATATAACGTCAAGCAACCTATCATATGTGCTACTTTATTTGTGCAAATTTTCATTAATTTCTTACATGGGCTATATTATAATTATATCTAATGTTCATTGTACATCTCAATTTATTTTTCTAAAGCTGGCCATATCATTAAGACCAGCAGAAGTTAGCTTTTTAAGGAACTGAAGAGAATCTACTACCTGCTTCAAATGTTAGCAAAATGACTTTATTCACTATCTGTTTATATGAGAAATTAAAAAAAAAAGTTATTCTAGCCTGGTACTAATACATTTGAAAGATTTGTGCAATTTCATATTATATTCAGAGGTGGAACTAGAGCAGGGCAGACAGAGCAGTGCCCCAAGGCCTGGGGGCCTGGTCTGGTCTTATCTTCTGAGAAAAAGGGGCCTTGATTATTTCTTACCCAGGGCACCTGAACTGCTTGTTCAGACATTGATTATAATATACACATTCATAAATACCTGCAAACTATCCAATATTACAGTACTTGAAATTTGTTAAATTAATCTGAAAAAAGTGTAACATTCATATATTAAACCCTAACTCTGCTTTTTCTCTTCATTCCTCAGGTCATTATTTCAACTTTTTCATCAAACATTTTAATTTGGCAAAATGTAAAGGAGATATATTGATGAAATTTTTACATTGTGAAGTTGGTTAGGTTGAAAAAACCTTGTTTTGTTTTTTTAAAATGTTGTGCATGTTCTTGTAAGTACATTACACTGTCTGTAGTGCTTTTCCTGAAAGTGCATTTCATTTTTTTAAAAGCAAACTATAATATTTTGTAGTTCTTCTCTTTAATACTCAATTTATTAGATCTTGATACAACTAGCTACAGTACTTGCTTCAGTTTATTTTGTTTTATAGTAAGAATTCTGATAAAGTAATTATTTCAAGTTACTTTATCAATTTATAATCATTTTTAGCAGAGAGCATAAATCACAGTCATCTAATTTTATCTTTGATCTATAGAATAGATTTCATACCTTGTAATTTTCATACAACTGTAAATACAAGTCTCCATGGGACAGGATACTAAATTACAAATAGTTATCCACTAATCAAGAAGCTCCATTAACAATAACTTTCTGCAATTTGAAAATTTTTTAAGAAGTTTGTGTTTTTAAAATAATGTATGGATTCACATGTGTTGTATTTAAAGTATGAGTAAAATTGTACTGCATCAAATAACTAGTTGCAATGTAATAGTTTTAGGTAGCAAAATGGTATCAGGTATATTTTGACTTTGAACCCTGACTAAGACTAACCACCCTCTTATAATTCACAAAAAACACTCAACAATATTAATATTTTCCACAATATTAATATCATTAGAGTGAATCCCAACTAGTGACCTGTATGAAAGTAATTACATTTTTTTACTTGTGATCAGTATGTCAATAAATTATTTTATTATATTTGCTGTTAGCAACAAAGCATTGCCTCAGTGTCTTGAGTAACTTGTCCACTTCTATGTTGAGATCCTTTTCTTCAGTCATGCTATTGAGTGGGTTCCCCTCTGAATATGTGATCAAAATGATGATGATCCAAATGCTTTATCTTGCATTTACTATAATTATAACTAAGGCCATTTTCAAATATTTGTTTAACTAACCAGTTAATTCAAGGCATTCTCTAGTACATCAACCTTTGTACAGCAAGAAATATCCAAAAAACTATTGCCATCTTAAGTCATTTGATAATTGAAATAATTAAGAAATAATAATAATAGAAAACACTAATTTGGGATTAGTTGATTATTTTCATGAGTTGTGACACAGATTAAGCTGAACAAACTTTTCTTTTAGAATTAATAGTAATAATGAAAAATTGTTAGCTGGAGCTTTGTGTGCTATATCATCAAAATCCTTTAGGAAATCTATTTTCTAAAAGTGCATATCTTTTCCATATAATAAGTAACATCCTAAAATAAGTTAATCATATTAGTAAGGCATCACATGTTGATTTTCTTTTATGGTGTCATATTTCATTAATGGATTTTGCAAAGTTACTATTATCAGACTTTCTGGAACTTTTTCCACTACAGAAATAAAACAAACTGTTCTATATTTTCTAGGGCAATTGGTTTTAGATTTTTTCAACATTTTTCATTGTGTAGCTTGAAAATACCTTTTTGAAAAAACATTTGACTGAAGTCAGCTCTGATTTGTAGCACTGTTAATAGCTTCCAAACATTCTTTATAATTAAATCAATTCTAATGATGTTTTAAGATATTCAGGTGTATCAGTATTAAAACATAGAAATGTAAAGGGTTTTTAAAAAAAAAGTTTATGCTTGCAACAAAGAATGTATTTTTGTTTTGAGAATGTGCTTACTGTATGAACAAATTTCTTAACATTTCTTTAGGAATCCTTTGTTGCAACAGCACAACATGGATGACGCAGAGCTGGGACCATCGACTTCCTGTACCTATCCCCATGTTTTGTTTATGGTCCAGAAAGACAGAAGAGTCAGTCATGATAGTGAAACTGATGATTACTGCTCTGATGAAGGAATGACTTTCTCAGCTTTACCTATGCCAGCTAATGGTTTAAGCAGTGAATTAATAGAAAACCAATATTTATCTGTAGATATTGTCAGTCGAACTGTGTGTCGGGGAAGTCTCAAGAATCAAGGATTTATTCAGGAGAAAAAAGAAAAAATACATAATATTTTGAGTGTACCAATGGAGATTCTTGAAACTATATTCAGTTTTTTGTCTTTCGAAACAGTTGGAAAAATTCGACTGGTAAGTATGGGAGAAGTGTCTAATCTGATCTTTCAATATTAAGATTGTAAAAAATTGTAGATTGTGATTCTCTTTATACTAGCTACATGTAGGATTGGTCACAGAAGCCTGTCATTAAACCTGTCAATTATTGACTAAAGATTGTTCAAATATTGTGAGTGCTAGAGAAATAATGTTTTAAAATTTTATGTTACATGATTTACAGTTTGTAACTTCTGATTTAAATAAGTATGTACATTATCTGTATTGTGTTATTTTTGAGAACTTATGGTGGTCAAACCCAATTAAGTCATTCATGTGTTTAATTAGTTGTCAAAACTTCAATGATTGTTGGTTGTGATTTTGTTTAGAACTCAATTACTTCATTATTATTGAGGAACGATTTAGTGACATTAAATTAATATTTTACCCATTAACCCTTTTGCAATGGGCTCATATATTTTACACAACCTTGTAATCACCAGAGGTAAGTAACTTGTAACCATGAATATTTACATACTATAACTCTGAAAGTGCTTACTGTATGTCAAAAACATTTGGCAGACTTTCAGTAAATATTACAAGACTTTTGTAGATCAAAAAAAAATCAGAATTTTTAATTACTTTACCAAACATTTGTCAATAAATATATGAAATCAGAGTGTTGACTGCTCCAAGTGCAAAGTGGTTTTCATGTTAAGATGAAAAATATTTAATTTATGTAATCTATAAAACCTCCTAAATAAGTATCAAACTCTTGTTTTCATTAAAACTTTATATTTTATCTTATTTTCTCTACCATAACTCTATATGAGGTATGTTGATTTTACTGACCTTGTGACCACCATAGAAAATTAGGAAATAAATCTAAGTTACCCTTTTTTCCTTCTAGAATGACTGCTAATTGTACCAGGAAACCACAATAGATTTAGTCTAAATAGCTTAAAGCTCATAACAGTATACATTTATATATACTTAATTTTATTATGTTATTGCTCTTTGAACCATGTCTAATTGATAATCTTGCCACACAAGTTGTAGATCACAAGGTGAATGTGTAGCTCATGTAACCATATTGAATTACGTAATGCACAAGCTGCTCGCAAAGATACCTTGTAAAGAATTTTTATTATTATTTTTCATTATCTTACCTAATCTAATTTTATCTAACCTAATCAGTTTGTAATTTACATTTTACTTATTTTTATAATAATAAATACAGAATATGCATGAAAAACAAGAAATACAATACTTACCTGGGTTGTTGTCTTTTTTTTTATATTTGAACTGCCAATGATACTTAAGCCTACTTTTTTATACTCATGGTACTACTACACTAAATAATTTTTGATGTAGTTAAATACTGTACCTAAGACCATAAAATAATAATTTGCAAAAAGAAAACAATGTCCTATAACTATCGTAATTTTTCTGGATTTCTAACTGTGTGATAAGAGCCATTAAAAATTTGACAAAGGTTTTTGATTTGATTCCCATGAGAACAAATTTAAACTGGAAGTGAAATAGGCAATTCTATGTACAGGAAACAATGTAATATAATTATATGTCATTTGATAGATTAAAACTTTGGTTTCTATTGGTTATAAATAATGTAGCATAAAATGTCAGAGAGAACTATTTTCAATTTTTCATAGAGAGGAAGTGATGGGTGGACACGGTAAGTGGGTCTGAATTCTGGATGAGTTTCTCAAAGCAGTTTACTCAAACTTTCATTTCTCTTTACCTTCACAAAATCCATATTTATATGACATTAGCAAAATGTTTAAATCTTCATTGATTCTTGCATGGTGAATACTTTTGTTTTGCTAGATTAATAGTCATGTTCAGTTCCTCAATCTCTGAAGCCTACCAGAGAAGCTAGAACCTGGTACCACTTCTTGGGTTTACCTTTATTGCATGCCTAACCTCAAAGAGGAAGATTATGAAACATAGTTCACTTCTCATTGTTTGTGAACCCATTCACTACTCATTGAAGTGATCTGATGGGTGTGTTTTGCCATAAATCCAGCTTGGAAGGTTCTTCATATACCTACTTCTGCCACGTGATGTGGACAGTGTCATCAGCACTTATGTTTTGGTGTTCGATGATTGTATTGGCCCTTTAGAATGTGTCATATCAGTTTTAACTTAGTTGCTTTTGGTGTATTATTTTGCTAGTTGAATCACTCAACAAAGTTTTGTTAGTGACTGGTGACCGCACCTTTCAAAATGGCTTCACTGTTACTGTTGTTAAATGTCGTAGCATGATACTTTGGCAACATTATTTTTGGTCAAAATCAGTTTATATCTATTAGTTATAGTATATTTTATATAAATAAGAAACTCTTCTGTCGTTGTGGGTTGTTTGAATACACTAAACAATATATTCAATAACAAAAAATATTTCTATCATCTAATAGTTTGTTGTCACATGCTTAATACCATACTTACTAATACACTATAAAATGTAGATCTATATTTATGATAAATGTTATGCTTGCAGCCAGCTTTTTTCTTTTTCTTTTTTAAATATTGACCATTGTTAACAATTTGTTGAATATTCATTATTATGTTGGGGTTATCAAGTGGCAAAAAATGACACTGCCCTTTGATGGTCACTGGCTAAACATAAAACCCATTGGCATTTTCCCATCTAGCCATTGCTAATATTGAGCCCTGCTATGTACTTTCTTCCCTTTAAATGTGGAAATTCTAGCTTTACATCATAGTAGAACAATGTATGCCTGAAATTAACATTTTAGAATGAAAATGAATTTCAGAGAGACACCTTACTAGTACTGTTGCTGCCCTCTTCTTTTTGCTTGTACCATTTTACAGTTAAATTAGATGTCGTGTTCTAAAAAGAAGTGAAGTTCATATATAAAATACAGAATGTTTCATTATTAAAACTACAAGCACAACTATATTTGAATGTTTATTTTTAGGTCTGTCATCAGTTCAACAGCATATGCTCTAATATACTCAATAAGCAATTTCGTCAACTGCAGAACTTAATGCAACAACGATTCCAAAAAATAAAGGCTCAAATGCCACGTCGTGAATCAGCTCGTAGGAAGCATCCTCTTGCACGGGAAAGTGACATTATTGAAACTCTTCACATGCGTCTTTCACTTCTGCAGATGACATTTGGAAAACATATCGAAAGAAAACATTGCTGTTTTTTTCCAGGAGAGGTGTGTGTGTGTGTCTTACTTTTTAATTTGGTAGCCAAGATTGTGGCAATCATCATTATTTTTTTCATCATTATTTTTTTTATACAGATAGCATAATTACTATTGTATCTGTATGTTTAGCTGAGCTTTTACAAATTGAATTGTCATCAAGAAATAACTAGAATTTCTTTAGCATGCTTTGCTTAAAATGTCATGACAAAACATCTTACAATGTCATTGCTTATGTGCAAAATTACCTACTTGATTATACATAATATATTGAGCGAAGTTTTTGCTTATACAAAGTTTAATGTTTATCAAAAATTTTTCTTAATATTGATGATAGAGTTAGTTTCAGTTTAGATTAATTTTTCTGTATTATTGCATAACAAATACATATGTATGGAGGATAAAGATCCCTTGTATATGAAAGCCTTGCCCTAACTATTTGCTATATGTTATGTTGTTTTTGTATGCAGCAAAGTATTTGAAGATTGTTATATTTGTGTTAAGGTACTTTAATTTGTTTTCCAGATACTGGATGAAGTTTTTCACATACTCCGATACCTCAAGACTACATCGAACATTAGCCGGGCTTACAAAGTCACAGATGAACTTTTTGATTTATCAACCATGGCTATGGAATATTTCAAAGAAAAGATTGAACCAACTTTGCCAGAAATCACTTGTTTTGCCACTGATTTTCTTGACTACATGCCATCATTTTCATGTAAACTTGGTGTTTTCAAATTAGGATAGGCATTCTAAGACTTTCAAAAGCTAAATATTAGTTAATTTTATGAATAATTTACACTATGTTAATGTTTGAATAAGATTTCTAAATACGTATTTTGCAGTATCATCTCAATCGAATTTTTAATTTCATTACTATATATATATATATATATATATATATGTGATCTTTTTTACAAATAACAAATAAATTGTTTGTGGATAGGAATTTAAAGTTCAAATGGAAATGAAGCTCATTTTAACATGTTCATATTGTTAAGTCATTAAACACAAAATGTTTATTTTTAGCCTCTCCAAAGACTCAGTTATCTCTAATGGAAGAACCACCTGGCAGTAAGACCTGCACTTCCACTAAGAACAGTTCATTACCTGTGGAATGTGTGCCACCACCTAGGGACTTACATCCCAGTTTCAAAAAACGACTACGGAAACTAAGAGAGAATATGAAAAAGTAAGGTTATAGACAAATGCTCTTAGTTTTATTTGAGTTAAAATGAAATACTAAGCTCTTCACAAAAATACAAAAACAAGTTTTCGAAAAGGTGATTTAAGGTTTTTAATTAAAATTTTTTTTCTAAAATCGAGTTATCTCTAGAATACTTTACAATTCTAAACAACAGTACTCTTGTTTAAGTACTAAGGTATATAGCTGAGAAGAGAATTTTTTAAACAAGTTTTACCTTTGAAATCTTGAACGTAAGACTTAATGGATACACTAGAAAAATATGCAGCTATTATATGGTTCCAATAAGCAGAAATTTCATTTTTTCAGTGTAAACATAAGTCATGTGAAGTATAGTATAATTTGTATATGGAAGTGTAAATTAAAAGGTAAATGAACATGATTTCTTTCTCTTAACATACCATTGTCATTTATTTACTTTTAAAAAACAATATATATGAACATAGTTTAGTCTAAAATCATCTACTCTAAAAAGTAATTTTGAGACAGATAAATGAAAAACACTTCATTTATATATATTTTTATCCAATACAAAAATTTGGTAAATTCAAATTCTGATATTTTTTTGAAAAATAAATTGGCTAATAAATCCTCATTCAAAATTAGCCATATTTTAAGAATCATTTATAGTTTGGCAGAAACCTGGCTAGATATAATATTTCTTTATACCTTATATCTTTTATCCTGGAAAAGATTGTGATCAATTATTTTGATTAAAAGATTTATACACCCAGTGCTATTCAGAATGAAAGCATTTTATCACACATGCAACCAAAATGCTACAATTGTCTTCAATAAGATATTTTACTGGGCATCAAGTCTCATGGTGCATAATGCTAGTCAGAAAACATAAGATATTGGTCAATAGAAATTATGATTAAATCAATTAACTTTTTTTATACTGGGCCAGTCAAGGTGACTCCTTGTAATAGTAAGGGTTTCCATACTATAACTTTTAATATGTTTTGTGTATTGTCTAGAGGATGGTCAGTCAGATACCTTCAGTGTTAAGCATGATGTAAGACAAGGTTGCATACTTTCAACCTTTACACAGAACAGATACTTAGAGAGAGAGAGAGATGAGCTCACATGAATAAGAATTGGAGGAATTAATATAGTGGCACTAAGGTAAAATGATGATAAAGTGCTACTGGCAGAGTCAGAGGAAGCAAAACAAAGAATAAAGGACTTAGTGAGTATGAGAAGTTTAGAGTACGGGTTGAGCAATAATATAAAGAAGACAAAAACCATGGTTGTGAGGAAAGATGTAAAAGTAAAAGTTAGGTCAACATCAAAGTGGATGGTCACACACTAAAACAAGTGGACAAGTTTGTTTACTTGAGGCATTTAATAACTGAAGTTGGTAAATGTGAGGCAGAAGTCAAGAGATGGATAGAAATTGCAAGAGCAAATTTCATCCATATGAAAGATGTATTAACCACAAGAAACATTAGGTTAGAGATAAAAAAGAAACTTATAAAATGTTACATACTATCCATTTTCCTGTATGCTGCAAAGAATTGGACACTAATCAAAGAACTTTGGAACAAAATAGAAGCATTGGAAATCTGGAGTCTTATAAGAATGTTGAAAATGGCATATACAGAGTATAAAATAAAGGAGGAAATATTGAAAATGGCTGAAACAAAGCATACACTAAAAGCAGATATTCAGAAATGAAAGTGTAAGTATTTTGGACACATTATCAGAACAAATAAGATTCAAAGAACTTTCATAAAGGGCATAGTTCACAAGCAGGTGATGATGATTTTCACAAAACTTGGCAATCTTTCAGTAAACATTACAAGTCTTTTGTACAAAAAAAAATCAGATCTTCTTTATTAAATAGTTTTACTAAAAATTTGTCCATGAATATATGGAGTCAGTGTTGACTGCTCTGAGTGCAAAGTGATTTTCATGTTAAGATTAATAATACTTTTCTTCATCTGAGAATTTTAAAATTTCATTTGCATAACCTCTAAAGCCTCCTAAATAAATATCAATTTTTTTTGTAGAACTTTATATTTTTTGTTATTTTCTTTACCATAGTTCTATCTGACCACCATAAAAAAAGTATGAAATAAATCTAAATTACTCTTTTTTTTCATTCTAGAATGACTGCAGATTGTAACAGAAAATTACAATTGTTTTTCCATGCTCACATTACCTTATTGAATGATGTAATGCATGAGCTACTCGTGAGCATACCTCACGATTAATTTTTATTTTTCTTTATCTTGCCTAATCTAACCTAATAACTTTCTAATTTTTACACTTTTCTTCCATTTATAACAATAAATCAAGAATATACATGAAAAACAAGAAAAATAGTAATTACCTTTGACCTCTTTTTTTTTGTTATTGATTGCCAATGAAATTTAAACTTACTTTTTTATAATGATAGTACTACTTCACTAAGTAGTTTTAATTTACTTAAATAATCCACTTAAAAACACAGGATAATAACATGTGCAAAGCAAACATTGTCTTATAATTTAACTAAGATAAGAGAGGCTTAAACTAATTTTCTTTTATGCTTAATTGGAAGATCACAAGATAAACTTTCAAACTGAAGAAAATCTTGATAATACTCTGTACTGAAAAAATATAGCATTATATAGTTGAGAGATTAAAACTTTGTCTTTCTATTGATTATAAATGCTGTAATATAAAATGTTAGAGAGAATTATTGGCATTCTGATACAATAGGTAACCTCCACTCCCATGTAGCTTTTCCGATTCAGTGCTGCCCTCTATATACAAACATTTTTGCACACCAGTAGCCTAAACTCGGGTGTTTCCAAGTTATATTGCTGCATTATTGCATACAAATGACCATATGACAACCCTCCACCAGTAGGAGTGTAACACACCCTCCTAGCTCTATCTACTGATTTTTCAATCATCAATTCACGATGTGGCACTTGTGTATAAAGATGTTTCTTTTTTTTGCTCTTGAGCTTTAGTGATATTGGTATTTATTGTGAAAATATTAAATTTAAATTTTAGTTTTCTAACATTTCTACACCTGCAGATTTTATAGCATTTTATTTCCACATTATGAATTCACAATTGATGGTAACTTCAACTTAGTCTGGTGTGGGATAACAGGTTGTTTGTGCTAGACAAACAACTCGAATATCATTGGGTTTCTCTTTGCATGTTGAGGAAGTGACAACTATTGTGCAATAGAAGATGGAGTCATTCATGTGGGAAGGATCCTTTATCTAAGCCTGATATATTCCCCTCCTATGAATCCCATTCATAATGAAGGGGACTTTAACAGTTTTTTCTCACCAGCTACCTTTGCCAAATAATTTACCAATTCTATTGTGGATTTACCTAGGTGTTTTTTGCAATTTTTGAACATTGTTTCTCAGGTATGTTACCTTCTCTTTCTCTCCTGTCTTGTATGAGTGTTGCACTCCAATGGTTTCCTTCAAGCACTTCCCAAAGTGGGCTCATCAAGTTATGTTTGATACTGGTGCCTCCACCAGTTCAACATGGTATTTTAGCTATATGTGAGTGAAGGTTATGTATCATATTGGAAGTTAACATTTTTCAACACTGAAAACATATTTCCGATAGATACTTACTTCCCACCCTTCTTCCCCACTTCCAGTGCATCTTTTTTCATGCCTGATCTTGAAGTAATGATTGAACAATCAGTATAGAGGGAGTCAGCTGTATTAGGAGGATGTGTCACATGCTCATTTGCATGCAACAGCGCAGCAATATCACGTGGAAACACGAGAGTTTAGATCAGAGCTTCAAGGCTAGTGATGAGCAAAAAAAGGGAAGCACTGAATCAGGAAATCTATATGTGAGAGGAGGTGAAAATGCTAAAATTTGTGAGAGAGGATGTGACAGGTGGATGTGGCAAGTGGGTCTCATTTTCTAGTTTATGACTCTGTAAACAAATAAGATTGAAGGCTATAAAAATTTGACTTTGCCTTAGTAATATCTGCATTATAATGAATAATTTATATTGAATTCCATACTTCAGAAAAGGGTAGTGAATAAATTAGAGAAGGGGAAGACTTAGAGAACAAATTTCACAATTCTCATATTAGAGGAGATAGATGATTTATCTAAATATTTTCTTATAAAGTTAAGAATGTAAAAGTATTAATATTTGATTTAGTAACTATATTTTGATATCTTTCTTTATAGAATGTTGTGAGTCAGAAATCTCACACATTAAGAACTGACTCCTCCCACATTCACAATTTGTTAAATACTCCATTTATTTACATATTATGTGTCACATTACTGCTTGAGCTCTATAACTGTAGAAATATTAACATACCATGGTTAGTCTGCAGGACTGTAAAGACATATTTCATGAGAGTATCAACAATTGAAAGAGGATATTCTCTCCTCATTGGGAAATGATGTTTGCTTGTGACATAGCAAGGGAAAAGATGTTTGCAACTGTGTCCAATTTGACTGATTTATTGAACAGTAATCAGAGTTTGACTATTTCAAATTTCACCATGTGAAGAATATACAGAAGCTGTCAAATAGCAGCTCACAACTAGTCTAAAACTGCTATCTGAAGAAAGATGGCTTAAATGGTGCTTAAGAGTGTAAAGTGGATAATGAATGACTGCAAGTGTATGGTATTGCTTGATGAGTTATAATTCATCCCTTTCTGCATGCCTTGGCATTGCCAGGTGGTTACGGCACCCGACTCGCAATCTGTGGGTCATGGGTTCAAATCTCTGTCCCACCAAACATGCTTGCCCTTTCAGCCATGGGGACATTATAATATGATGGTGAATCCCACTATTCATTGGTAAAAGAGTAGCCCAAGAGTTGTGGGTGATGATGACTAGCTGCCTTCCCTCTAGTCTTTAACTGCTAAATTAGGGACAGCTAGTGCAGATAGTTGTTGTGTAGCTTTGTGCAAACTTCCAAACCAACTCTTTCTGTACTGATGTAGAGCAAAAAATTAAGAAATAGCCTACTGGATGTGACACTGGTGAGCTGCTAGAGGTGGCATAATGTTGTAGGTATATTCTTTTGGAAGGAAGAGATTGAGTTCCTTGAGTCCTTTAGAAAGATAAATTAACACCCAGAGTTATCTTAATATTATTGCTGACCATGTCCATTCCACAATACTGCATTTCTTTCCCATTCTGATGAAGGGCTGTTAAAAAACACCACTGTGCTTATATAAACAAAAATAGTTTCAAAGTTGATTGAGCATACATGAACGAGTTTGAATATCAGTCACCTGTATTTTTCTATCAACATTTATGAAGCAGCTTCAGATCATATTCTTTGAAAAATGTGTTACAAGTGACTAAAATACCTTCTAGAGTATATGCTGTATTAAGTCTAGGCTATTATCTTGATATAATATGGTCCAACTTGGTAATAGGTGGAAATCATCGTAAAATGACTAGTTTTTTTGTGTTTTTGTGAGGGTAAGCATAGATGACTGAGAGTTCAGATGTCACGTGATAAAAAGATATCAAACATGTTATGTTTAAGATATTTATTTTTTGTTCTTAAATACATCACAAAAGTTTCAAGTAAACTAGGTCAAACTGAAGACAAATACAGGCTTTTGGACTGGATAACGTATTGAAATTGGTTTCAAAATATGAAATATCTTGCATGCAAAATATATTTTATGAGATTTCAGTTGATTTTTACATAACATATGGATAACAAAGAACTATTTAGTGTTTCAAGGCTTTCCTTGCCTTGAACACCTACCCTTTTTTCTCAAGGATTCATCAGTTTGCCTCTTAAAACCACAGGTGAGACCCTACTGATGTGATTAAATAGTTAAGAACTTATTAAACAACCTCCATTCTTCAAGTACTTCACACTAACTCTCCAAAATACTTACTAATGCAAGGAGTCATTTTAAAACATATCCCACAGTACTTCAAATGAAAAATACCTCTCTGAGCCTTGCACCTATAACTTTAAACTCCTATAATGTGCTGGCTTCTACTACTGCTAATGCCATCTCATTTCACAAACACATCACAATGTCAGAAAAATAAAACTGCATTAACTGGAGCATTATCTGTCCTTTCTAATTCTTAAACTTGTGTCCCTTCATACTGTTACTTTTAGAATAAAGCACAAATGAATTAGAGACTTTAATCATATCAATCCTCTGGATAAACTTATAAATGTCACTTAGAACACCTCTTATCTTTCTTTAAATAAGATATGTTAACCTATTCCTATAAGATAACCCTTCCATGTCCAAAATTATCTTAGCAGCCTCCTTCTGAACCGTTTCCAATAAGTCAGAAATTATCTTCTGAACCATTTTCAGTAAGTCAGTGTCTTTTATTAGACAAAGAAAGCAAAGCACACATTACTCCAAGTGAGTACTAACTTGTGATTTGTATAAAGAAATAATTACCTTTCTTTACTTATAATCATTTTGGTTATAAATACATCCTAAAATTGTTAGCTTTTTTTCAAGCAAAATAGCACTGCCTTTAAAGCTTAAGTTACTTATTTACTACTGTGCCAAGGCCCTTTTTTTCCCCCAGTTATGCTGTTGCATAGTTTCCCATCTATATTAAATGTTGACCCAGATTATGATAACTGAAATGCATTAATTTGCTCTTGCTATAATTAAAGGTCATATGCCAAGATTGTCTAATTTATCAATCAATCCAGTCATTCTGTAATACCTAAACATCCTCAGTACAGCTAGAAATGCTCAAGAGTTTAATGTCACCAGCAAACTTTACTAGTTTACCCTTACCAATATCATTGATATAAATAAGAGATACAAGGCCCAAGTAGTGACCTCTGAGGTACATTACTAGTAACAAAGGTCAAAGTTGAATGGAATTCATTATTAACGTATTCATGGCTTTTTTCACTCACCCACCTTACAATCCAATCAACTAGTCTTTCCATAAACCTTAAGATTGTGATTTTCTTAGCTAAACATTTGTCTGTCACATTATAAAAAGATTTATGAAAACCTAAGTACACACCCCTTTCTATCACCAATATGATTAGTAACATTTTTGAAAAAAGTTAAAAAATTATTAAGGACAGATTTCCCTTTAGTAAATACATGTTGATTTTCTTTTATAATATCATATTTCATTAATTTTGTAAAGCTTCTTTTAACAGACTATAGAATTTTTTCCATTACAGAAGTTACACTACCTAGCCTGTAATTTCTGGGGCAGTTCTTATCACCTTTAGAACTAACAGCACTTCAATTCTCTTTGACTCACCAAAAATGAGAGAGAGAGAGGCTTGTATTTTATACTAATGTTTATCAGTATTTGTTTTTTTTTAAAACCACGTTTCATACAACTGATAGAATTTGAAATATACAGCAAAATTTTTACCTTCCTCACAGAAACAATGGACAAGTCCTGACACTGAAGAGAGACTTGAAACAAACACGCCAGAATGTGTCCAAACAACAAAAACAACTTCAAGAGTTTAAAGCACAGCTGGATGATTATAACCGCAAATTTCACACCACGTCCCGAAAGCTGAATGCTGTACTTCAGGAGCTGAATCGCTGTAAGACAGAGCTTCAGTATTGGCGTTCTAAATCTCCTGCAGCACAGTGTTCATGTGGGAAGATCACTCCAATTTCAGAGCTCAAAGATCAAGAAAATGGGTTCTCAACAGAGGACATTCAATTTCAGGACTCATTACCATTAGATTTTAAAGAGTTCACACCCATTGTAATGCAGCAGACAGATATGGTATCTTTGAGGGATGAAAGTTGTCCATTGGTTATTCCAGCCTGCCATACTACTCCCGTAGAGAATATGAGCTCTCCAACTCGTTCCTCACCACCTAAAAGTTTTCCTCAAAAAGAAGACTATTCTAAAACTTTCTCACCATTGAATGAAGATTACATCCAACCTATATTTTTTCGTGCTTGCAGACGTAAACTGGATATGGAAGATACAGTAAACATCGTGTGCAAGGCTGCAAAGCACTCCATAAAAGGGTCAGATACAGAGGTGGATTTTGATGTATCGGAGCTTATTGGCTCAGAAAGTAGGTAATTTTAAACAACAGTTAGGGATTTATAGTTCAGTTTAATAAGAAAGCAGTTTTCTCTGTTTTCTTTCTAATGTGTTAAAGATCAAACTTAGAATCTCTTATTTGTCTTTATTTAGTACAAACCTTGTTCTTGTTTTGTACAAACTGTTACATTTAGGGAAGACTTTAAGTGTAAATTTATATAATTCATTAGTGTTTCTTTTTTTATATTAAAAGTAGGATAGAGACAAAAAAAACTTAAAAACTAGTGGAGAATAGATATTTGTATACTAGAAACAGATGAATTTACAATTGAAAATGTATAATTTAGCCCATTTCCTGGCTTCAGCATGTTTAAAAAATGTGTTGTGTTGTAACAACATAAACTGTGCATTTTAGAAATCAATTTTAATGCTTTATTAATCTCTTTGAAATGAACATTTTTACACAATCTTTTATATATCCTTAGCAGATTATAAAATCTTTGTTTTCCTATGATCTTTGCAAACATGGTATAAAAAGGTACTTCATTTTTTGAAAAGATAATTGGAAAACTGGATAGTCGTGCAGAAAATACTGGTTAAGATTATACTTACTTATTCTGAATGTGTCTTCTATCCATTTTAGTTCCAATATTTCTAAAACAGGTTTAACTTGTGACAAGCAACATCATGGTAAAGAATTTGTATCTAATTCACTTTTGAAGTAGTGGTTTTTCTAAAGCTGAATTGTTTTAATATTTTTGTTGAGAGACTTTATAAATTTATGAAGAAAAAACTTGTGAACAGAGAGATTTGGAAAATTTAAGAAAAAGTTCCTTTTGTTTGTGAAGGAATCTTTTAATTATTGCAAATCTTAGTTTGATTGAAATACTTCATGTTAATCAGTTAATAAACTTAATATTTTGTAGGTTATCAATTTTTAAATGCAAGCAAAACAAGTAGTGAAGAAAGTGTCCCAAGTTATATCCTCTAATGCATGTTGTTTGGCAGTATATTGACTGAATATTTCTCATATTGTATGTAGTACAAGTTAATTCACAGGAAGTTTTTGGTAGTTGTATTCTTTTGCAGGTATTTATAGCATAACATTGTTGTTATATTCTTGTGTTTCAACTTATTGATTAGGAAGAAAGTACAATTTAAGACATAATTTTCTTACTTAACTAGTAACTACATAGCTCTGTATGGAGCATGTATTTATGCAAGTTATAGGAAATTATTATGTACTTATTCAAATTTCAGGCAATCTGTACTAAACAATTCATGGCAATTTGAGAAAATAATCACAAATTTAAAATCAGACTAATTAATTATAACACAATTCAAACATCATTAGTGAATCAAGTTTAAGTTGTATATAAAAATTGCTCATTATTTGCCCCCTCTATCAGCAGTTTTTGTAAACTGCAAGAGAATGTGACCAAAACCTCTGTATTTATTAGTGCTTCTCATTTCGGTTTGTATCTTTCTCTATTACAGCAATGTAGCATGTAATGTTACAATAAACACAAATCTGAAACATTGCACTAATAGATTTGACATACTGAAGTTTGTGGTCCCATTTCTCATAACAATTACTAGTCTTTCTATGTATTTATAAAGAGCCCAGTTTAGTTAATGCTATGCCATGTAATTCAGTTATTTACAACCTTGATCTTCTGTACAAAGGGTCAAAAACTAGAAATTGGTAAAGTCAGTGAAGTACCCTAAAGTTATAGTTGTTAATATTATGTGGAGAAGATTAGGATGTTTACAACAAAATTTAATATTATAACTCAACTAAATATGTTTTTAAATTAAGTAGACCTTTGATAACTCAAAAGATGCAAGATGTACATTTTTTCTGCAGTGGGTTGTACTATGTATCTTTTGATTCTTCTGAAATGAAACTGCAAGTTTCTGTTTAAATTCTATGTTTTAAGATATTGAAGATTGTATAACATTCAGCCAAATTTTAGTTTATACCATGGTTGGGATTTACTGGAAATATTAACCTTTTGTCTAGAAGATATAAGACCCGAATTATACTGTTGCAGTCATTGGCATTAGAAAAATATCATATGCAAAGTAAGTTTTTTTTTAAATAATCCCTTTCAAAGTAAGTTTTTTTTATTCTGGGTTGTGATAGGTATATCACATTGTATTACATCAGCAAACATAAGAAACTAAGTATTTTTGTTTAGTTAAAAAAACAAAAGTTAAATTTAGCATGCTGGCTTTATATTAGTATAATGTAATTGTTTGGTGCAAATATTGGGATTGATGAGGCATTTATAACTTAAAGTGCTTAGCACATCATCTTGTGCTTACCCTGGATTGATATATTGGAAAGTATCGAAAGTCAACAAATGGAGATGAGGGAGTGCATGAACTTTGAGTGTGAAAATGTTATGACAGAACTGTACAACTGAATATGATACTTTGAAACATGGAATTGTAACGACAGAAAGTGCTTGTCGTATAAGCAAGTTCTAAAAATTTGTTTAATTAAGGCTTAGTTTTTGCATTCTTAGTAGTGGTAATATATGTTTATCAAAAAATATATTTAACTTCTTGCAGAAAACATTTAATTTACTTTGTTGTCATATTGAACACTTGTGTACAATGTACATCTATGCTATAAATAGAAGGCCCTATTTAATATCTTTCTGTCTCTCATGTGCTGCAGTGGTTTGAATGTGGTTAAGTAGTGTAGGATGTTGGTGTTTAAATAGGTTATTTTGTGTGACCTGATGTGGTATATACACACATTTTTGAAAACTAAAGTTACAATTTCAAAACTGATTTTTGAGAACAGTAAGTATTACATAGTAAAAATGAAGTAACTGTTCTGTTTAATGGAGAACAATATTTCTATCTTACATGGCTGTGACATTTCTGAATTGGAGCTTTAATCCTCTGTAAAGTTGGAAAATTGATCTTTCTGAGAGGCAACTTGACTTGCACAACAAAACCACATTACTAGAAACACTTAGACTACACACATAGCTACTAAACAGACAAGGTGGTGTAATATTCATTAAAAAATTACAGACCTCATTAGTAATTTGTCACATAAAAGTTTAAGAATAGATTGAATTTTTACATCTTTATTAAATTAATGTGTACAGGGTACAAAAAGAATGATTTATGTACAACTCAATAAAAAAAATTTGAAAAAGTCCCCAAACTTTGGTTAGTCTCAAATGTGTAATTTTGTTTGAATTACTGTTAAAAAATTAAAAAGTTAGTTTGGTAACAGTTTTTGTTTTGTCGTGTGTTTAAACTACAGTGATATCACATGTAGAGTTTACTAAAGACCAAGAAAGAATTCAAATGAAATAGAAGTTATTATCAACAGCCAATTACTTTTCTTTTTGTAGTGTCAAATTAAAATATATTTTTTTTCATTTTGAAATGAAGATTTTGCTCGGTAATTTAAAACTATGCCTTCTAATAGAATTCATTAATCAGACATACATGACAGGCATGTATTGATCCACTGGTTGATAAAACTTAACAATTTATTTATTGTTCACTGTTGAGTTGATTACTTTGGAAAAGGTATTTCAAAATTAGTATTTTAGTTTTTGAAAAGATGCTTTCTAAAGTATTAGTCTTTTAATCACTAGTGTGAAGACAGACATTTTTATTTAACTAATTAATGTTTGAGTATTAACAGATGAGGATACTACTTTATGATTAATATCATGATCAGTTTTACAGTGGGAATGTTGTTTTTAATTGCTTAAAAATACACATTTCTAATTCAGAGCTGATCACAGTATTAAATTTAACCAATATTATGGTTGATTTTGGTATGGGAACTACAGCCTTTTGTTAAACAGCTTTTACATTCTTCCATTTTAAAGTCACTTTTCTTCTTATCAATACATAACAGCAAGAAAGTTCTGAAGTATATTGCTCAAAGCAAAACAGAATATTTGGCCAGTGTTTTCACTTTTTAATGTTCCTTTATCTTAACCTGTACTTTCAATTTTTAGACCGGTTATTTTCATTACATCTCCAATATTTTATTATTTTTTATGCAATTTCTCCTTTATAATTGTTCTATTTTTATTTTTTGTCAAGAAAGTGATTGTTTACTAGACTGATTTTTTGATAATACTTGTGAAGTTATTATTAATTCTTCTAGTAACTGTCATTAATCTAAAAGTTAAGTCAGGTTGAACTGCTTTCTTCTTCTCTGTAAATGATCTTAATCCCAACTAGTTTGGTATCAGCCAGTAATTTTGGAAGCCAAGAATATTTACACCTGGGTGACTGACACAGATGGCAGGTTGAACTGCTTTCTTCTTCTCTGTAAATGATCTTAATCCCAACTAGTTTGGGATCAGCCAGTAATTTTGGAAGCCAAGAATATTTACACCTAGGTGACTGACCCAGATGGCAGGTTGAAATATGTACTGCATTTTCTGTATAAACATAGGAACAGTTGTTACATACTAACAATAACGATCCTTTTTATTTGTGAATTACATTATTAGTGGCTTAATGGTAAACTTAAGGCAGGGCATAGCTACCACTACAGAGTGGTGGGTGGATTGGTCTTCAAAAAAAAAAGTGGACATTTTGTTCAACACAAGGAATTCCAATAATAATTTACCTTAGTCTAAATGAAACTTGCAAAATGGTCAAATTTTAAGAGAGCAAAATTACAGAGGAGCTTAGCTTACCTTATAGTAATGAACTGCTGAGTTGTAAACAACTTGTTACAGTATTGGGATGGATGTTTGTCCCCCATCTGGCTTAAGGGTTTATAACACTAAAATTTGAGATTCAAGTCCTGTGGTGGGCACAGTGCAAATAGCACTTTGCATAGCTCTGCATTTAAACCAAACAAATGCAATCTTTTCTCTGAAGTTGAGTCTTGACATTCAAGAACTTCATAATTGTTTATAGAAGAAAAAAAAAGTCAATGTTTATAGCATCCATAAAAAGCTACATATTTTGATGTTCTGAAAAAGGATGAATACCTATTTCAGATTACTAACAGTTCATGGACCTAACAACTAATTTGCAAGAAGAGGCACATATTTGTTTTATGTTTTGACTGACTTGAAAATTTAATTGTTGTGCTATTTTATTGAGCTTATGAGATTTGTGTCCATTGTAAGCCAGCTTAAAATATGAAGAATGCATTAATAAATTTTTTGATGTGCTTTTGCTCATGGAAATATCTGCTTTATAAACATGGGACCACTGTCAAGGTGATCATCATGTTTTCAGAGTAATATCTGTGATCAAAAGGTGCTAAATGGAGAAGTACATGTAGATGGAATTATATTTTAAGATAATAATGCATTATATGTTGTTACGAGGGCATATAATGTGCATATTTATGCTGAAATAAGCAAAAACTAAAGTGATGCATTTAGTATCAAAATGTGTGGGAGCTTTATTAGCTACTGGAGTCCTACAATAGAGAAACTGTACTGGTAAAATGTAGGAAGTTAGCCAGCTGTATCTGACATCCATACCATGGGATCTAGTACTGGTTGATGTGGTACACAAATAGGTAACAAAGCAATGAGGCATTACATCATATTTGCTGGTCTGTTGGGTATAGTGCACCTTCAATGAAATGATTGGCTCTGAAATTCCAAAATTCTGAAAACTCGAACTGGTCGTGTAGAGTACCTTTCTATACCTTGTCTACACCCAGATGTCTAATCCTTGGTGTTTACAGATTAGCAGTGTTACTACTAGTGCAAGCTTCATTTGGCTGTGTGGTACTACTACTACTACTAAAATTTCCAAGTTTGTTGTCATATTTTACTTGTTCCACTTTCTTTATATACTGTAAAAACATGTCTATATCACCCTGCACTGTTCGCAACAGTGATGTCGTGATGATTGGTTATAGTTGTTTGTTGCTATTTCTAAGCAAGCTCTATAGCTCTGTATCTCAGCAACTGATGTGAGTTTGTACTAAGGTGGGTGGTACTGCATGAACATGTGCTCAGCTGAAAGATTGTGGGACTTATTGGCTACACCATGGTCAAAAAAGTTTGATTTCATCTGTATATATTTGGAAATCTAGCATACCAAAGTGCACATTTGCTTGTATCTTCAATGATTGAAATACCAGTTATATTAGCAAAGTAAATCCTACTTGACATGACATCTAGGGAGCTGGTGGCATGCATTTGCACATTAATGACCCTGGGGTTTCTGTATTGCTTTAATTTTCTTGTACGAGCCTTATATTCATACCTTAACGCCCAAACAACATATAGATGGATATAGAACAAAAATACTGATTTAGTATGGTTTTATATTGCCTGTGATTGTCAGACTAAGGATGTACCCCCAAACCAAGTGATATAACACTTGAATGATACTGTTGTGACTATCATAGTAGGGGTGTAACATCTAAACAAGTGAACTAGTGCTGGCTTGATACTGTTGTGACTTATCAGACTAGTGGTGAAAT